CGATGATATATATATATATACAAACGCATAAATATGACTTGATTAATTATGACGTGGGATAAGAATAATTACTCGTGAATAGTTTTGTTAAAGAAGGCGATGAACTAACTTATTAAAATGTCAATTAACGCGAATACATAGATTTTAACAACATTACATTCTATTTTTTTCTTCTAGAAAAAATAGTAATTTAACCGAAAATTATTAAATATAATTTTAACCGTTTTTTTTTTTTTTTTTTTTTAAAGTTAATAATTCGGCTTTGAATTATTTATTTATTCATCAATAACAAAAATTAATTATTTTACAAAATATTTAACGAATTTTCTTTTTTCTTTTTTATTTTTTTTTGTTCGTTTGGATTAAACAACTCCATTAATCTCAATGAGCTTTTAATCTACTTTGAAAAGCAATTTAAAATTTAACTGCATTTCATGTTTAAAACAATAATAATAATAATAATAGTAGATTAATAATTTTTTGTTTTTGTTTTTGCAGTTTTAAACTGTCATAAAAAATTGCAATTTTAAACAAATTTTTTTTTTTTTTTTTTGACAATAAAACGAGAGAGAGAGAGAGAGAATTAAAAAAGTAAAATATATATTTTGAATTTTGAATACAAAATTCGTTTTATTAGTAAGTACAAAGTAAAAAAAGGATTATAAGTTTTTTAAAAGGAAGGGAGCTTTTTTGTGTTTTTTTTTTTTTTTTTTGTTTTTTATGAAAGCGTTAAAAAATTCTACGACGTAAATAAATTCCACCACCTATATAGTAAATGGAAACATTTTCACGTTCAAAGGATTATTATTATTATTATTATTATTATTATTATTATTATATAAATAAACAAAATAATAAAATAACCGTTTAACAACACCGAGTTGTCATATACAAAAAAAAAGAAAAGAAAAAGAAAATGGAAACCGCCGTGTGCGTACCACGTGACTTATAAAAACGAAGTAAATATTTAAAATTCGTGCGTTTCCGCCGTTGCCGTTGCAACTAATCGGAAATTTTCGTCGTTCGGTTTTAGTCGTTATTGAGACTTCGTTTGAATTATTCCGGAACGTTCTATTTTTTTTTTAACCGTTTTTTTTTTTTTTTTTTTTTTAAAGTGAAAAAAAATATTTTTAAAAAATCGTTAATTTCGTTTGTGTGTGTGTGTGTGCACGTTTGTTTTAAAATAAAATAAAAAAAGGATTTATAATAATTTATCGTTTTTTTGGAAATAATCGCCATGGAAAATAAAACTTGAAAATTTAAAAAAAAAAAAAATCGTTACAAAGTGATGTCAGTTAATGTCGTGTTTTAAAATTTTGTGAAATAATTAAAAAAAAAAAAAAAAGAAAAAATTACATAACGAAATGTATATCTAGTGATTCTTTTATATAAAAAATAAAAAAAATACGTTAAATTTGGATTTTGTATTATCATTATCATTATCATTATTATTATTAGAAAAAGAGAAGAAGAAAAAAAAGGCATTGTAAAATGCTCACATCCGGAGCAAATCAGTATTTAAGACCGGAATATTTAACTCCGCTTCCTACAACAGTAAGTTTCAATTTCGAATTTTTTATTTTTTTTTTTAAAAGAAAACAAACGACGACAATCTTTTGTAATTTGATTGTCGAAATTTGTTTGTATTTTGTCTCTCTCTCTCTCTCTTTCTCTCCCTCTCTCCCTCCCCCTTAAACGGTTCTTTTTGTGTGTATTTTCGTTCTCAATGAAAAATTTGCGGTTTTTCTTTTAAACTGTGTTTTTTTTTTATATATTTGATTCATCAATTATTATTATTATTATTATTATTATTTCGAATGAGAACATTCTTGGAATGTTTTTCATTATCATGATTGATTTCATTCATTCAGTGCCTGCCCTTTGTGTGTGTGTTTGTGTGTTTATGTAAAGTCGGTCCGTTTCAATTTAAATTCCATGAAATTCTTTATTTTTCTCTACAGTTATCAAAACGTCAATGCCCGAATTTATTATTATCATTATTATTATTATTATCATAAACAATTTTATTAAAAAAAAAAAAAAAAAAAACGGTAATAAATCATAATTAAAAATAAATAAATAAAAGGATAAGAAAAGTGTTACATGAGTGAAATGATTGTGTATAAAAAAAACCGACAGAAAAAATCTTCTAATAATAATAATGATGATGATGATGATGATAAAAAAAGAAGGAAACCTTTTTAACATGTGAAATTATATATATATATATTTAACGGAAGTGTTAATCAGTGAAAAAGATATTTAATTGTTGTTATGTTCCCGACTATGTTTGAGGGGGGTTTTTTTTTAGTGATATGCCATCTGCAGAAGACAGAGGAGAGATTTTCTATCTTTTTTTTTTCTCTCTCTCTCTTGTATTTTATATTCCCTCTCTCTCTCATTTCTTCCCGTTCCTCCCCGATCACCGAATCCAGGGTTTAGATTACAAAAATAGGGAGAGAGAGAGAGAGAGAGCTTCCTCAAGAAGACTTTCCCAAAAAAAATTATTACCCGTGGAAGATTTATGTCTTTTGTATGTTTTCAACGTTTTTGACATCTTTTTTTGTGTGTGTGTTGACGTTCTTCGCTTTTTTCTTCTCTCTCTCTCTCTCTCTCTCTTTTATTTATCTTTCCTGTTTTTGGTTTATTATTATTATTATCATTATTATTATGATAACGTTTGAAACAAACCGTCGGTTGTTAAATAAATTTATTGGCAGTAATGTAATGTCGAATGTCCTAGTAGTAGGATATAGTGTGTAGTCGTCGGTTGATTTATTAATATTATCGTTTTTTTTTTTTTCTTCTCCCAATGATAAATAAATTTAAAAGAGAGAAAGAGATAGAGATAGTAAAAGAGGAGAGAGAGAGAGAGAGAGAAAAAGGTTTCCCGTATGTGTGCGTGCGTGTGCGTGTAATAAATTACAAAACGTTAAATAAAAAAATTTAATAATATTTATTAGAAATTAAATCAAAAAAAAGTATTAAATTCTGAAAAGAAAAATAATGATGATGATAATAATTTTTCTTTTTAATTAGGTAGGGGAGGGTGTGGGTGTGGGTGTGGGTGGGGGGAAAGTGAAAAACATTCGAAACGGGGGAAATATTGAATTTGTTTAAATTACTTAATTTTTATTTTCATGTATATTTTTTTTTTTTTTGTTATTAATGAGTTTCGACGGTCATTTGTTCAGTCATTGTTCAGTAGAATTATTATTATTATTATTATTTACATGTGAGTTTTTACTTCTTCGTGTTGTTTATTATCATTATTATTATTAAACGAACGTCAATTAGTCACGGTTTGATGCAATAAATCTCACTTAGGTAACCAACGTTTTTCACAATCCTTTTTTTTTTCTTTTTTTTTTTTTTTCTTCCTGAGAATTTTTTTTTTTTTTTTACACGGAAAGTTGTTTCCCCCCTCCCCTCCCCCCGTATGATTTACCGTCAAAGGAAAGGAAAGGAGGAGGAGGAGAAGGAGGAGGCGGCAATTCGCCAGATTTTAAATCTTGTAAAACGAAAATAAATTACAAATTTCTGTAAAAAAAAAAAAAAGGTTACGATCGCACTTGTTATAACCCATCAATTATTTTATTTTATTATCATTATTATTATTATTATTATTATTATTATTATTATTATTATTATTATTATTATTATTATTATTAGTTGTAGTAGTTAAATAAATTAAAGTTTTTTTTTTTTTTAAATTTATGACGAAAGGAACTAAAAAGGCAACAAACGAAAAATCTCAACGAACCAACAACACAAACACACATACACAAACACGAGTTTATTTTATTATAATAATAATAATAATAATAGTTTTAGAGGGGTTTTGGTATTAGTGAAAAGGAAAAAAAAAATCAATTTGAAATTCTGTTTGCATGATTTTTGCAAACGGGAATAAAAAAAAAAAAAAAAAAGAATTTTCACGTTGAAAAAAAAAAAAAACCGTCCGCCATATTGATTTATTGATCTCGTAGGAATGTTTTACGAGCTTTCAAGACTTTTAACGGCCTTTCCTTTCTTAAAGTTTTATTGCTGATACACCTATTTGCGAACTCGGTCGTTAAGGGAAGAAAAAAAAGAAAAAGAAGGAAAAAAAAGGGAATTTTATGAGCTCTGGAATGGCTATGCTTTAGAGGGGAGGGGTTGGAGGGGGGAGGGTTTTCACCTTCGATTTGATAGCTTTTTTCCTCTGGAATTTAATTTATTTTGTGTTTTTTTTTTTTTTATTTTATTTTGAGAAAATGTAGAAAAATTAAGTTTGCAAAAAAAAAGAAGGAAAAGAAAAGGGAAAAGAGGAAAAGCCGGGGGGAGGGGGTAAATAATAAAACGTATTCGTTTTAATGTTAAATAAATTGCTTTAAAAAAAAAAAATTAAACGGGAGTTTTAAAAACGTTTAGAGTTTCTTTTATGTATATGCATTTTTCAAAATGGAACCCGAAAGTTGTGAAAGAACCAGTTGTTTTACATAAGTTAAAACGAGTTAAATTTATTTAAAAATAAAATAAAAACTTCCGACAAAATAAAAATTCTTTCACCCAATTTAGTTAAATAATAATAATAATAATAATAATAATAATAATAATAATAATAATAATAATAATAGTTAACCGTGTAAAAAAATCAAGTTTTTTTAGAATTCGACAAATTATTAAAAGTTCCACCGCCGCCTTACATTTTGCCACACTTGTTTTTTTTGGTTATTATTATTATTTTTTCTGTTTCGAAAATCGATTTTTGACTGCGTTTTATTATTATTATTACTATAATTTTTTTTTTTGAAATGTCAGCCCGAAGAAATTCAATTTCTTTTTTTTTATCGTTTAAGATTGTGTAAAGTAAAAAAAAAAAAAAGAATTTAATTGTGTTTACTACGTTCTTTGTACTTTTTTTTTTGATCGTTTTCAAAATGGCGGAATGTTTTATAGAAAAAAATACTTAAATGTTATTAAAAAAATTGATAAAAATATTAAATATTAAGACGAAGATGACGTTTCAAAAATTTAAAATAAAAAAAAAAAGAAAGAAAGAACGGGGTGGGGGAAAGGGGAAGGTATAAAAGTTCATTAGGAGTCTGTCATCATAAGTCAGGAGTAAAATATGACACGTGCACCTTAGGGATGTTACTTGTCACAAAATAAGGGATGAAAAATGATTAAATTAGAAAAGAAAAAAAAAGAAAAAGAAATCTTTTTCGTATAATATTTTTTGATGTGAAAAAAAATATATATATATAAATTTTTTTTTCTTTTTTTTTCTATTTTTTTTTATTTTTTCAGTTAGACGCAAAGAAAAGTCCTTTAGCGCTCCTCGCTCAAACATGTAGTCAAATAGGAGTCGATTCGACCACGACGAAACTTATTTCCCCGTTGGAAAAGCATAAAAAAAATGACGGGACAAGGGATAGAGAAAAAGCTTCGCCCGCGTCGTCGGTCGGAAGTAACATATCGGCGGGAGATAACGTGCCCATCAAATCGAGTTTTAAACCGTACGAAATTCATACCAAGGAAGAATTGCTGGAGGATAGAGGATCGGTGGGAAGCAGAGCGAGAACACCGTCGTCGAAAAGTAGTAGTAGTAACACTCCGGCACCGGTCAATGGAAATAGATGCAATAGCAACCAAAGTTCTTCGTCGCCGAGGTCTTCGCCCATGATAAGCAACAGTAGAAAAACTCCGGCGTCCACGTCGGAATCTAAAACTCCTGCGACGACCCAATCAACGGCTGTGCCAAGATCAGTACCTAGTCCTACGTCAAAGGTCGGATTTTCACCTAGTCTTCTTTCGTCTACCGCTGACCCTCTTTTAAAAGACTTACCGATAGGAAGTTTTAAATCCGGAGCCGGTTTACCGCTTCCAACCGCCGGATTACTCGCGGGATATCCTCCTCCCGGAGGACCCTTTCCTCTCGACGTCATGGCAAGCTCATTCCTAACGTCGCACGCCTTAAAAGGAGGACTTAATCCGTATTTAAATTATGCAAGAATGAAAACCGCGACAGGAAGCGAACCTTTATTGCCCGTTTGCAGAGATCCCTACTGCACAGGTTGCCAGCTTAATTCTCACTTATTACCCGGAACCGGTGGAAAACCGGGTTCTTGTCCAGGCGGTTGCGCTCAATGTGAACATACAACCAAGCCATCTAACTTTTTGCCTACGACAACAAGCGGTACTGCCGCCGCCGCTGCGTATGCTCACGCTCAATTAGCCGCGCTGGCCGCCGCATCTCAACTACCTTACGTTTGCAATTGGATAGCCGGAGACGCCGCATATTGCGGAAAACGTTTTTCTAATTCCGAAGAACTTCTCCAGCATTTGAAAAGTCATACTAGCATAACAAATTCCGAAAACAATTCGAATTCTTCACCGTCTTCTATGTCTCTCCTAAGTCCTCCACCTCCCGGACTTCCACCCGCACTCCCTCTCCTTCACCGAAATTATCCCACTCCGCCGCTGAGTCCTTTATCCACGGCCAGATATCACCCGTACAGCAAAGGACCCCTTTTACCCTCTTTTTCCCCACTAGGTTTTCCCCTTCATCCTCATCCGGGCTTGTCACCTTATTTATCACCTTATTCACTTTACGGTCAGAGACTGGGAGCGTCAACCATGCATCCATGAGCAGCAATCCATTAGTTTCACCAAAGGCGAAGCAAAACGGATGCAATTAATTACTTTCGAAAAAAAAAAAAAAAAAAATTCAAACGTTCACATAACTTTTATTATTATTATTATTATTATAACAGATGGTTAAAAATTGTGCTCTTATGTATCGCATTAAAAAAAAGGTTATGAAAATAAATACCCCCGTTCGTGGCAGTAGAAAGTTTTTTTTTTTTTTTTTATTGGTGCCAATAATTCGAAAAAAGTGATTGAAAATAAGCGAATTCAGGGATTATTATTATTATTATTATTATATCGATATTTATTTATTATTATTATTATTTTTTTGTTGAATTTTGTTTGACTTTTATCTATCTATTTCCACGTCAAATTTTTATTATTATTATCTATTTTTTTAAATGTATGTTTTTATCAATATAAAAAAAAAATAATTGACGAGACTAAACATTAATTAAATAAGTCTGTTGCGTGTAAATTATGTAAATAATATTTAAAACCGTGTATAAAATAAATAAATAAATAAGTGAACTTAGATATTTTATTGTTGTGTTATTTATGTTCTTTTTAAACTAAAAAAATAAATAATAATAAATAAATAAATAAATAAATTGAAAATTTTTTTTTATTAATTATTTATTTACTTTTTTCTTTTCTCTCTCTCTCTCTCTGAATAAAATCAAATGTAAGTAAGTATGTTTATCAATTTAACGCCATTTAAAATTTTCTTTTATTATTATTATTATCATCATAACTATCAAACGTGAATGCAGTAATAATAATAATAATTTAAAGAGTATAAATAAATAAATAAATAAATGAACGAACGGGACGAACGAACAAACGATGAGTTCGTGACTTCCTGTACTTTTCTCTCTCTCTCTCTCTCACTCTCCTGTCTTTTATTTTCTGGATTCATCAATTAAAAAAAAAAAAAAATCCTCCTCCGTCGGACAATATATTATCATTAGAAGATTTTCCTTCCGCCATCTTGATAACAAACTAACTAACATATTAAAAGTGTAATTTAATGAAAAATGGCGGCGGATGTCCTGTGTACGATAAATTTTTTGTAAAGTAATAAAATACATCTTTGTTTCGTTTGAATATTATCCCTTTTAATTGTGTGTCCGAACAAACGTTTTTTTTTTTTTTTTTTTTTTTTTTATTAATAGTCTTTGTCTTCTGCTTGCTTGCCTTTTTTTTAAATCACGTTTCACCGCCACTTTATTATTTAATAATTGTTTTAAAAAAAAAAAAAAAAAATATGGCGATTCAATAAACGGGATAATTTACGACCGATTCATTTTATTTTATTTTATTTTATTTTACTTGACACGGTCCTGATATTTTTTAAATGGTTTCTCGGGTTCGCACGAGTTAATTTTAACTTTATCCAACCGTATAAAATAGTTGGAATCAAAGTTTCACGACCTCAAACTATAATAAAATTAAAAGGTAGATGAATTTTTTCTTTCTTTCTTTCCTTCTTTCTTTCTTTACTTCTTATTCGTTATTATCATTATTATTTCATTTATTTATTTTCTCTCCCTCTCTCTCTCTTTCGATGTAGTAAAATCAAGGGGGAGGGGGCGGTGAACCTATCAAATAGTCAACCATAAACTTTTTCTTTTTACGTTTTTCGAAATCACCAATTTGTTGTGTTTTATTTATTTATTTATTTATTTTGTTATTATTATTATTATTATTATTATTATTATTATTATTATTATTATTATTATTATTATTATTACCGTGTAATAATTATAAAATGTTTTTACGCGAAACTTACTGGAGAAAGCAAAAAAAAACTCGCGTAAAATCGGATTTAACATGTAAAAAATAAATGAAATCCATGAAAGCGGTTTAATGGCGGTTAAATAAAGAAGAAAAAAAAATGGTTGTAGTTGTTGTTGTTGATGACTAAAGGTGAAAAATGTTAAACGATAAACATGAAGAAGAAGAAGAAGAAATATATATAATTTAGACGGTTCGAGGAAAGAATAAAGAAGGTAAGTGGTAAAAAAAAAAAAAAATTAAAGGATGGAGAGATAGGATACAAAAAAAAAAAAGGGAAAAACGAGTGAGAGAGAGAGAGAAAAGATGAAGAGTGAGGGGAGAGAGAGAGAGAGTTGAGGAAAAAAAAAATTATTTATGAGCGGAACAAAAATTTATTATGCATAAAACCACACTTACAGCTGTAATTTTATACTAATTATCTATAATTTATGAGGTCTAATTTATAAAATACGAAAAATCCTTTGGGAGAATTATTATAATTATTAGGACGAAACAGACAGAGACGGACAAACACGGGCGGATGGACGGACAAACTCGCGAAAGAAACAATTTTTTTTTTGTAAAAACCGAACCGATACAACAACCAGAACAACAAGAACAAACGGTGTAAATGATAACGTTTAATTTATAAGAGATCGTTTCCGGTTACGCCTCATAAGTGTCGTATATACCCTCTAGCCAAACATTCAAAAAAGAAAAAAAAAAAAAACAAAAACTCCTTTTTTTAAATAATTAATTTTCTTTTTTTTTTTTTTTCGAACCTTCCCCCACCCTCGTATCCCCTTTCCCCCTTCCCCTCCCCGCTTACACATCACGACAACGTCCTTCCTTATTTCGCTCCTATTAATTTTAATAACTTGAGTTATGTCGTCGTTTGATTTAAACAATTTCCTACTTGCTTCTCCGCAGGATAACTTAAATTTAAATATCCAAATTAATTATGTCTAATAAAAAAAAATAAGGCAAGAATGATGATCGTGATGATGATGAGGTCAAGAGAGGGGGAGTGAAGGAAACGGGGGGCAGGGAGGGGGATATAATAAAGATTGAAGTCATGCGTAAGGAAATGAGAGAGAGAGAGAGAGAGAGAGAGAGAGAGTGAAGATAATATGTCTGGTAATGACTGTTATTAAGTGGGTTTTGTATGGAAATAATGATATTGAAAGCGGTTATAATAAGATAGCTGAAATGATAATCGTAAACTCAGCGACCATAAATTATCAAACGAGAAACTCCCTCCCCCCCCCCTCGCACCCGCACAAAAACATACCATTTAAAACACGTAATTTATGCGAGAGAGAGAGAGATAGAAAGAGAGAGAAAACTCGTCCGTTTGTCGGCCATTTTGTTTCAAATTGTTTTTATTTTTTAATATAATTTTTCCATAAGACACGTTGCCAACATATTCGCGTGCACGTGTATATTAATTTTTTTTTCTCTTTCTTGCTCCACGCGCACACACACACACGATTTTAAAAATTTCTGACACCGAATCGATCAATCGATCGGTGACATCAATCAGGTATACAAACATTAACAACAAAAAAAAAGAAAAAAAAGAAAAGAAAAGAAAGAAAGAAAAGAAAGAAAAGAAAGAAAAGAGTCCTTGATATTGTTCTATGGAGGCCACCCTCTAAAAAAACCTCACACACACACACACACACACACACAAGGTACACGTATATGTGTGCATATTTTCTATTCTTCCCTTTGTGATAATAATAATAATAACGATAATGATAATAATACAGATGAATGTAATAATAATAATAATGTGTGTGTGTTTTCAATTCATGATAAATATCTTTTTAGTTATTTTTTTTTTTTTGTTTCATTCTTTGCACTTTTTTTTTTTTTTTTTCAGGTGTGACAACAACCGGTGTGTGTTTGTATGTTTGTGTTTGTGTCACAGATAAGGTTATGAATGTTAAAAAAATTACAATCGAAAATGGGCGTTAAAAAAAAAAAAAAGTATACCCGTTATAATAACTAAAAATTAATTTTTTTTTTTTTTTTTTATGGCGTACGATGTACGTAAAGTTTCAAATGTTTTTTTTTTTTTTTTGTATTGTTTGTTTGTTTGTTTGTTTGTTTGTTATGAATCGGCGGGTTGAAAGATATTAAAAAAAAAAAAAAAAAAAAAAAAAGTTGGGAAAAACTATTAAAAACGAATTAAATGGATTTTAATGATAGGATAGCGTGTGGAAAACATAACAAAATGGGATAAAACATATATAATTTGTATCCTAAACAAAAAAAAAAAGAAAAACGATGACAAAACACATAATAATAATAATAATGATAACGTAGAGGGAGAAACACATCACGTGAGTCGATATATAAATTTAAAATGAAAAAAAAACAAACATTAATAATAATAATAAAGTTATATAGAATCATTTAAAACAATTGAAGGTTTTTGTTTTTTTTCTCTCTCTCCATAAGGAGTCGATACGTAATATTAATAATAATAATAATAATGACAAAAACAAAAAAAATGGTTGAAAAGTTTTGTCCATTTTTCGGTTAAAAAGATTTATTGTTAAGAAAAAAAGAAAAAAAAAAAAACAAGGGCAATATGAGTGGAAAATGATCGCATGAAAGTCGAGAACATCATTTTTCAATTTTTTTTTTTTTCGGGGAGAGGGCAGAGGAGGGGGGAGGGTTTTTTTCAAAATGTCAGTCCAACAACACCTGAAAACAATTTATTGACTGCGGTTCGTTCGAAAAATAAATTAAAAATATGGTATTGAAAGGTTATATTGAAAAAAAAAAAAAAGAAAACAAAAGAAAAATCCTGACAATGAATGTTGAATGTATGTGTGTACTCGTTTATAAAGGGAAAAAAAAAAAATTTAAGGCACGACAAATTTACAAAAAGAAGGGAAAAAAAAAAAAAAAAAATGGTTGAGATGAATGAAGGGAGAGGGGGGAGGGAGGAGGGAAAGTAAAAGATTTCAAAAGGTCAAATCATCAAATGTTAGAGACTTATTGACCCCGACTAAACCTTAACTGGAACTAACCCAAAAAAAAAAAAGAAAAAAAAGCTTTCCTTTTCGAAATTGGAGTTCAACCTTTTGCTCCTTTTATTATTACCTTTTCAAACCTTTTTTCTTACCCTTAAACCCATTTTTTCAAATAAAATCTTTTCTTTTTTTTCCCTTACCCAAACGATTATTATTATTATTATTATTTTAATA